TGTTTGTTCTCTGAAGAAAGGCTTTGGGGCTTTTGGTTTTGTTTGAAAGGATTTTATGAGGCTAACCAAAGCCTCTGCAGTTTCCACATTGGACATGTAAAAACCTTTGAAGGCTTCTGTGCTATTTAAGTGAAGATGATGAGTTAGTTTTCCACTTCTTTAATGATGTTCCTCTGGTTTCTTCCCTTTCAGTAGGCTTGTCCTGGTATTTGTTGATGGAACCTCTGATGTATCTGTTTTAGATACTTCATCAGCCAGTTCCTCATTACTCTGCTGTAGTTATCTGTTTTCCTTACACACATTTGAGGTGTAGTCAACAGTGTTGTCTCTATTCTTCAGGTGAGGGACCAGAGCACAAAGGAAATCCTACTGTTAGATGTAAATCTGTCACAGAGCACAAATCTAAAATAATTTATCCTGTATTTTAAAAGTTCATGCTGTAAATCTTGGACTGTTCTGCTGACTGAAAGGAGGGGAAGGTGGGAAGACAACATTTGCAATAAAGTCTGGAGAAAATTAAGTGGGAAGCAGTCAAGTGAGTTTTATGTACAGATCCACTCTTCCTTGATTCTCTAATGTGCATCTCAATTGAATCTTTTTTTCAACAATTTCCCAATTATCAAAACCAACAGATCTTTTGTATTCTTTTCTTTCAAATAGACTTTTTTTTAGTTTCACCAGTTAAGTGGTCCAAGAGTCATTTGAAACCTCTTCATTGTTGTCTTCCAGGATTTTAAGTTAATGGAGCTTGTACAACATGACTCATTTGACTAGAATGAATCTTCAGTTAGTCTTCAAGAAGAAAAAGTAGAGGAAATCTGATGAACATGTGTGTTAAGTGTTTCAACCATTCTCTTTCTAGTGTCTCTTCAATTCATTAAAAAAAAAAAAGTAAGGAAGCATTTTTTTGCAGTTGATGTGTTCTTTGAGTATTACATTTGATTTGGGAATGCAATTTTCATCTCTAAGAATCTTCATTACATTTTACTATGCTAAATTTTAATTTTTCTTATATATTTTTAAATACCTACTTGTAAATAAAACCTGGAAAAACAACTAACAATGAACAATGTTGAATCATAGGTGTGAGTCACAGGGGAGAGCTTTATAATGGTAGTGAAGTTCAGAAAGGCAAACATTTGGTTCATGTCTCTTTTGGAATCTGCTAAATTTCTTCTTCTTTCTCAAAATTTCTGATGGAAGATATCCAGATCCAATGTTTTGGTACTGTTCCAAATTATGTTACACATAGATTTATTTTACCTCAAATCTAAAAAATTTACCTTTTTGAGGATGAGACCTAAATTTGCACAGAGCTTAGGGGCTTTGGGAGTTTTATTTCATGAGAATACATTTCTTTACCACTTGGACGTTTTCCCTCAATATTTTTTTGAGCTTGCAATATTAGGCTAAAAGAGCTAATTATGTCTGTGCTGTAATATCATTGTATGATTTTGAGGACTCTTATCTGAACATGCTGTTCTTTCTGTGAGAACTGATTTTTTTCCATAAAGGGGGGAAAAAAAAAAAAAAGAAAGAGAAGACTAACACATATTACAGCAGAAGTATGTACCTGACTTCAAAAACGCCACAAACTGTCTGGCTCAGGTTGTGTGATGTCTGCATCAGTATGTGAGTAATCATATTGTTCCACCATCCAATGGTTCTATCACCTGAGTACTGGAAGATGTGTATCCTGTGAATCCTACACTGAGTTTTGCTCAATGAAGAAATACCCTTGTAATCTATAACCTATAGTGCACAGATGGATACACAGCAGCAGGAAGCAGCCTGAGTATAGCTTGCTGTTTCCCCTGCAATGTCTCACATAAAGCCAAAATTCTGATTAACTGTGTCCAGATCACTTAGAACTGCAGATCAGACCCTTCTTTACAAAGGCAGTCTGTACACATCTTGTTCCAGTTTATGGAGTTGTGCTGTTGTGCTGCCACTTCAAATAAGCCATGGTATGGGAGGAAATTTTACTCTTCTGATCAGGTACATGTGTACACTCTTTCCATTAAAACCATAAAGGGTTCCTCCTCTCCTCAATTTTGTACAAGTACAAATAAATGTTGAAATATATATTGAAGTAGGCGTGCACTGGGGTCACAGAATTCATCTTCCCCAACTGTCTGTAGCTTTGTAGTGCAATTAAAGGATATTCTGTTCTAGCTGCATGCTTCAAAATGTTAGTTCTTTCTATATCCAGTCAGGAACTTCGAAGTTACATCTTAAGTGAAAAAGTTGAGGTGATCTGTTTTCTCTGCATCATAGTAGATTTGGAAAACCAATTATTTTACACAGTGCCCGCCTTGAATGATGTCCTTGAACTATGTCCTCTTGTATATAAATGTCTCAAAGAATAGCTGACATTCCTGGGTTCTCTCAAGTGTGGGCTATAGTAAGAAAGATTTGGAAGTCAGAATACATTCTGACTCTATAGATCCATAGATCTTCTTCCAGTCATGTTTTTCCTGTTAAGGCACTTTTCGGGACATACAGTTGCCTATTTTCTCAGGCTGGAACTGGATTTCTTTTTTCCCTTGAGATTGCTAATTTTTACCTGAAAAAAATTTTTTTTGAATGCATAGTTTTATTACATTTGTCTGAAAATACCATACTTAGTGCTCTCATCCTGTTAAAACTTCATTTTTTGCATTCTATCTATAAGTCATGAGAATTAGAAGGGAAAGTTTTAGACTAGAACTTTTTATCTTGGAACTTGCTTATCTTTTTTGGGCTTCCTGCCTGTACTCTTTTCACACATTGACAGAGTTGCCATGGTGTCCTTCGCATGGTGTCACTCTCCAGTGGTCCCATTTTATTAATCCTGGAACTGCCTCTTCAAAGTAAATTGAATCATCTTTAAGGTTCAGAGAATTATTTCAGGATGTTATTACTGGGCTAGCCACTGACCTGATATTCTTCCCTCAAAGAGAATAGACTAGGTTATGTTTTCATTATACATACTTGTTCTGCATGGTTTCAGTACATCTGTCTGAAGTTGATATTTTAAGTCTTTGCTTTAATTTCTTTCTGTCAAATACCACTGGCAAATTAGGTGTAGCACTGTCCATCCTATTCCCCTTAGAATTTTAATTAGTTCTGTGCTGAACACTGCAGTTTTATGTGTTTGATATCTATATATTTATTTGTCAAAATCGAATTGCTATGATTCAGTAAATTCTCTAATACATTGCTGTATATCTGTAGAGAAAGCAACATTGTGGGGGGAAAAAAATCCCAGATCAAATCTATTCAGATAACACTATAAAATGGCTAAACTCACAGTTTTAGGCTGGAGGATGGCCTGAGTGTCATAGTGTTATGACCGGTTGGGTTGGACCTCTAGCAGAATTAGTATTGGATAAATACTCCACTAAACTGGTGGAGAAGGAAAAAAAGCAAGGTAAACATGAACCTTTCTAGGTATTCCTTAGGACCTGTTTCAGGCATATCACTGTCTGCCCACTATGCCTGCTGATGCCGAAGACATAGAAAGCTGCTCCATGGCAGCAGCTGAAAGTTCCTGGATCTTGTGGAAGGCTGGATTGGTGAAAGCACAGAAGGTGCCTCTGGCTTCATACAACATGCCCTCCAACTTCAGTGACATTCTGGGTGACACTGGGACATAGGTGGGATGCTCATGGTGGCCTTCTGTGGGCATCAGCCCTTCAGGGAATAACCTGCCTCACATGGCTTGGAGGAGACCTCTGGCAGTGGGCTACTTCTCAATGTGTACACACTCACCCAGGGATTTGGTTCTTCTCTGCTCTGTCTCCTTGTACTCCCACAAAGTTCAGCAGTGACTGCCCTGGGTGAGGAGCATGAGGCACCAGAGCTTGCTGGGGAGCAATGAACAATGTAGAAAGGGACTGTAGGGCAGAAATCACTACACAGGCAGTGTAGTGTCACACTGGGTGGGACAGTCTTGTCATGGTTCGCTTGGACATGAGAGCTTTTGAGTGCTCCCAATTGTTTGAATGATGCAGAGTTAGGACAGAGTACCTTCAGGCCTGCTTGTTATTCCAGGGAGAGAAAAGGGTGTGTAGAGTGGAAGTTCTCACACCAACTCTCTGTCCTAGGGTGTGCTTCTCGGTGAAGAAGGGACAAGTGCCTTAGATGTGTCTGAGTCCCTTTCCAAAGGCAAAATGGATAACTGTGAATATGGAGAGGGCATGTGGTACAATTTGATCCTAAACAGAACAAGCAAGATTTCATCCAAAGTGATTTAAATTTGGGTGTGACTTGCTTTGAATTTCTCTAACATTTCTTTATATTAACATTTTACTTGTCCGTTCTTTTTGTAATTGAAATTGGCAATACAACTGCAGAGCACAGATGCCATTTTTCACTGGCAGCTTTTCAGAAGTATGGAACAAATTCTGCAGAGTGCCCACATTTAAAATACTCGTGGAGATGTCTCTGTGACATACTGATGGCCAAGTACTGACTTTCCTTTTTTTAATTGAAAATTCAGTGATCTTCTGAAAAAGAGCTGGAGGAGTGGATGGGATACCTATATTCAGTGCTAATTCTGCTAGAGGTCTAATGTGAATCTTCCAGATCTTGGGCCAAATTCTTCTCTTAAGCAACAGCAAGCTCTGAAGTCAACTCTTCTTTTTCTGCATAGCTGAGGAGATGCTGTTAGTGCTTGCCAATGAGCCTGTGCTCTTTATAGCTCCTTTTTTCCACCTTGTGGGTGGTGATGGAAAGGTGTATGTGACAGGCTTCTGTCACTGAACAGAAAAAAACAAACTAGCACTGCAGAGAATTCAAAGTACAGACAGAACTAGCCATTTTTTTTCAAACCTAGAATTTAATTTTCTTCATAGTAGTGGGCTTCTTTTAGTAGCTAATGAACTCTGAAAAGAGCAAAAGGATAGCAGAGAAGCATTGAAAATGGACAGTTAGTGCACAGAGAGGGGTTTTCTTTGCAGAGTTTCAATGCTGAAGCCTTTAGAAAAGAGCACTTACAGATGTTTGATTTCTTTCAGGTCTTCAGATTTTGGGACATTATACACAAAGTTGAATCTACAGCCTGGGATTGCCACTGTTATTGACAATTTCTACATTTGTTCCACCAACAAAAAGAAGGTATGTGGCGAAAACCATTTTTGTAGTGCAGGTGAGATTCTTGGACTATGTAAAGAGTGTTTTACAGGTTTTCACAATATAGGAAACTTATTTTCATGATGGTGAAGATCACCTTTGTGCATTTGTGACATACAGAAGTGAGATATTTATTGTTCCTGAATAGTACAGACAGAAAAAAAAATTACCTTGATGGATATGGGAACCTTATGAGATCATTGACTCATACGATTCCTGGAAATCAAACTTTCATAGTGTTTTCCATGCAAATGAAAAATGAAATTCTGTAGGTTTTCACACATCCCAATGGATTCAGGGACTAACATTCAAACTCTTCATCTTTAATACACAAGGTTCTTAACATGTTCCTTAATATAAAGTATAGGGATTGGGCAGGCTGTCATTGATAATGATGTTTATCCTGTGTAGAACCTTAGTTAAATAAATTTTAAAAACCCCTCCCCATGAAGCTTTCTTAAGAAATGTTCCTGCATCATTACTAAGAAACAAAACACTTTTCCTGGAACCTGGAAAGGTTAAGTGGACTTTATAAGTGAGAGCAAAATCAACCCACTGAGTGTATTTACAATGGATGTTATATTAGAAGCAAAGGAACAATGATTATGGGGAAAAAAATTCACAGTAACAGCCCTTCTATGTCTTAAAAGTGCCTGTGATTTAAATGGCAAGAATTGTGAAGTGCAATGTGAAACATAAGCACAGTGGGTCTTTCATGAAATAAGAATTTTCTCTTGATAAGGGCCTTTTAAATCCAGTGTAATACAGAAACACTGATTTCCAGTAGAGGCCTCTGATTGGAAGAACAATGTTTGTTGTGTTTGTCTGTCTGTTTTACTTAATCAAAAATCAGAAGAAATCTGTAAGACTGCCTTGATGATTAAGTACATATTGTATTTCTCTTGAACTTGTCACTGGAATTTTGTGGCCAAGCTGTGCTATGTCTGAAATTGGTAATATATTTTTAATCTACTGCAAAGCCAGAAAATATTATTTCGTTTCTTAAAGTGGAACTGCCAACAAGCACAAAGTTGCTTCAGATGATGTGTTTCAGATATACAATCTACTGGTGGTTTCAAGTCCAAAAGAATAAAACCAAAAATCTTTACCCATCTCAGTTTCTGGAATAAAAGCTAGAAGGATGAGGTGAATGAGAGCCCTATGGAGGATCTTTCCCAGCTCAATCAGCTGCAATATCAAAGCCTGCTCAAGCACAAGTGTTCAGTGACAATATTTTTGTGCCATTTGTGTGAAAAAATAAACAGCAGTAAGATCACTGCTAAATTTCAAGCCTGAAAAACACACCAGTGCTCACAAGAACCCTCATCTTAATCCTGTCTAAGAAAAATCTATATTCTCCTGAATTTCACAAGCTGAAATTCTTAGAGATGCAAACCCCACTTAATAAGCTAATATGATATTGAAAGCCACCTGATACAGAAAGTCTCTTTGAGTCAATATAAATACAGTATTTTTATGTGGATATTTGCTTCTATGAAGGTGTTGTTTATCAGTATACAAACAACAAAACCAGCAGAGCAGAAAGGATTTCTAGAGCCTTTAAATGATGCCAGAGGGAGATATATTAATACACGGAAATATACATACATGCATATGTGGTACAAAAATGATGAAAGCAGTGGGGTTGCATGCTTTAGCCAACAGCTTCAGACTGTTCTTGGAGGTTTCACAGTCACCTGTGGAAGGTAAGAGGGAAGTCTTCATGTTTTAAGAGCTTCATGTTGTAAGTCTGTTGTAATGGTAAATTTTAGGTGCTGGACCTTTCATTAGGGCATTAAGAGGAAGACTAAGTTGATCTCACACAAGTTATTTGGGATGATGGAGGAACATATCTGTGGAGGTATAGAATGTAAGAAAATAAAAATAGTGCAGAAGGTAGTCACACACCTGAGGAGTTGCCGCTGTACCAATTACCAAAGATTAGGAGCAGGCCTGCCCTTAATAGGCCACAGCTGTGTCCAGTAAGAAGAAGAGTGCTACAAAAGAGTGGGTTAGCTGGGTGAGGAGAGAGATGGACTTTGTTGGTTGTGCTGTGAAGAGAGTTGGAATTTGTTTGCTGTGAGGAACTGACCATGAGAAGTCACTGGAAAGGTATGGAACTTTTGAAATAAGATGACAACGCATATCTCCCTGTCCCTTTCAGCACAGTTGCACTGGGGGCAATAGAATATTTAGAACTCTGACTCCCTTTTCTGAGCTGAGCAGAAGTCTCAGGTTTTTACTTGTTCTTGATGTTACTTCAGATCATTATGGTATGGGTTTACTTCAACCAGTTCGCATTTTTTAAAATGTGCAGAAAATGGAAACTGGAGTGCTGGCTGCATGTACTGGAACTAAGTGTGCCCTTTAAATGTAAAGCATAAGTAGTCCCATGCTACCACTTAGCATTTAGTGACTGGGAAAATACATGAAAGCAAAGATTAAATACATTTATGGGGATTTTTAATACTTCACATAGTAAAAAGTGTTCTGTGATTTCATTTCATTTAGCCATTGTTGTCATCTGTGGAAGAACAAATTCTGCACATTTAAAGCTCATCATTCCCACCTCAGTGTCATCAGGGCATTAACCACACCTGATTTAAGTTCTATAGAATTAGGTATCTGGTCAAGCTCTCTCCCTCTACAATTTAAAAAAAAAAAAATAACCAAAAACCCCAAACCAAGCAAACAAAAAAACCACAACAAGAAAAGCAAAACAAAAACCCAAACAAACAAAAAACAACCAAGCAAACAAAAAAGAAAACACCAATGGAGAAATATGGGTGTCTCCAGGCAGTTCATACTGTTAAAATCATAGTTCTTTGTGAGAATTCAATGAGAATAAGGAGATCTCTGTAAGTGACTTTGTGACTGTTGTGGGTTTGAACAGAATCAAACTGTGGCTTCCTACAAAGACATACAAAGAGATGGGTCATGGTTTAACCCCAGCTGGCGATTAAGTACCGCAGTGCTCTTGGCTCATTTCATCCACCAGTTCCCTCAGGGCTTGTGGGTTCCTCTCATCAAGTCCCATGGACCTGTGTACCTTCAGGTTCCTTAGATGGTCTCAAACCTGTTCTCCTCTACCATGGCAAGTTCTTCATTCTCCCAGTCCCAGCCTTTGCCTTCTTTGATTTGGATGGTGTGGCTAGAGCTCTCATGGACCAAGAAACAAACAGATTATTTGTTTGTCAGTTTTGAAATGCAATTAAATGAAATAACTGCTAGAAGGCTCCAGTCTAGCTCTTGGGCTGACATCATTTTTACAGTTCATAGCTTTTACTATACCAGCTCCTAGAGTGGCTTAGGCTTTCACTCAACTTGCCTCCACTCTGTGAGCTGCAATCATACCAGAGAGAGCAATGGACTTCTAAGTGAGCTTTATACAGTAAATGTGAAATAGTTCTGGAAATTTTCTGTGAATGACTCTAATTTTCATTTTCTTAAGATGTACTGAAAATGATGTAGTTGATTAAAAAGTGCATTAGCAAAAAGTACAACAGCACCCTTTTCACATAGTACCATGTGGAAAAAGGATTGTATAAAAACCCTCATGAGGTTATAAGGTAAAATATAGGAATGTTGGAGACTGAATAAGCTGGAGGAAGTATGGAAATCATCCATAAACCTTACTATATTCATTCAAAAAGTGGCACATTCCATTTTGCTTTGGAAATGTGCCATAGCCTTCTATGAACAAGCTGTGGTGAGTACTGTAGGCCTTAGTTAAGAATCTGGAAGGAGTTGTATCAAGGTCACATCCACACAATCTTTTGCCAGTTGTGGTAAATTCATTCACTCTGTGTCTTTTTCTGGCTGAAGGCAGCAGAACTCAAATGCAGAAATTGTGTTGCTGCAGTTACCAGAGGACTGAAGCTATGAAACCAAGTTTTGACAAGAAATGATGGCAAATCTCTGAAGACAGAGCTTTAGAGGGCTTTGTTTTTTGCTCTGAATGGACCTTTCTGATGAAATGATGGGATGGAGATGTGAACGGTGGCTGTATTGTTTGTGAGGCAGAGTTGAATTGCAGTCAGCAGCTGCACAAGTAGAAAACATTTTGACCTACCTGCAAATGACCAAGTAGGATCATAGATCGTCACCCTAAATGCCATGAAACAGCAGAGTAATAGGCAAAGTCACACTCTAATTAAGTTTATGCTTCCTAAGGATGCATTAACATTTGGTTTGCATTCTGTCTGGTTTTAGTGTAGTATAAACCAGCAGTTAAAGACACTGATATGGTTTTGGAAAGCTGTAGACTAGTGAAGGGGAGTTCTGCTATGTAAGCTCTCTGATGCTAACTTCTCCATTTGAAGCACTTTTTCATTGATCTGTGTTATAAAATAGCTTTTCCCTCTGCAGTCTTGAGGGGTTGTGCAGTGATAAGGGATGTCCCTGCACTTTAAACAACAGAATTTATGCAATAATCTCCTTTTCAGTATTTAGCACATGCTGATAGCATCAAATGGTGCAGGAAATCCATCATATACCATGTGCAGGAAATAATTTGCTTTGTGTTCTCTGTTTTCCAAACCAACATTTTAATTGTGACTTGGAAGTGTGATGTGTGTGGTTTATAGAGTATGGGATTAAGACTTCCATAGCGTCAATCTGGAATCAAGTGAACAAAGCAAATTCTTTCTACAGAAGAAAAAATTTAGCAGAATTTAATTTCACTAAGCTAAATTATCAATAAAATATTTAACTTTTTTTGGAGCATATATGCTGTTGGATGTAGAAATTACATATTTGATTTTATGTAGTGTTGTTGGGGAGGAGTTGAATGAACACACTGATTTTTATTTTTTTTTTCCCTCACATCCAGTGCATATTTTAATTTTAATTCATGCTAATGCTATTGGTGCATCCATCCTTCCATTTATATGCTTTTGAAAAACCTGCAGCTATAAGCAGTTTATATTCAGGCTTTTGATATTAAGAGAAAACAAGTATTGATTGTGATACACTAACTTATTAGT